AATGTACCTCGCGCTTACTTCACTCGAGTGTCGCGCTCGCTGTTAGTTTCCCCTATCACCGAGGTTTTGCAAGGTAATTGCGCGCGTCAGCCCTATCCACGCACCGCGATCGAGCGTCACGAACTCGTCTTCATTCGACGAGGTGAATTGTCAGCTGAGGTGGTCAGAGCTCGATCATCAGCTTGCAAGTCAGACATTTTCGAGACAATGACGCTCGTACGCTGCATGCCAGACAAGTTTGCTTGCGAAGTCGTCAATTAAGCTTTGCATGGCGGAGGATGGAGTGGACATCGGCGAGCTTTGCTGGAAAGTTTTGAAAGCTGTTTGAACGAATGGGCGCGTTTGACAAGCGCGCGCGCGCTTAAAGATACGGTTGGAGCTTTGCGCTCCGAATGTTTGAATATGAATCGTGGATATGTGTTCCTAAAGAGTAGAGTGACCCTAGAGCGTGCAAAGCAACACTCGTGACTCACGACTGAACTCACTTGTGACTCTTGTGCTTGATCGTGTCCGCCGGCTCTGCGTGTGATGAGGAGCGTCGAACGCGTGCTTATGGCTTTGCAGCGCAGGGATGACAGTCACGTGATGTCATCTCGATCCTCCCGCCCGCCGCGCCGCGCCGCGCCGCCGTGCGCCTGTGATGCGGTGATGATTACGCGTGATGTGACACAACAGCAGCAACAGTTTTGAGTACTGAGTGACGATGACTGCATGGTGACTACATATACCTGCTTGTCGTGACTTCGGAGTCGAGAGATTCGATCGTGAGTCGTGACTGAGTGGCTTGCTTCACTCGCCATTCGAATGCTCTTGATTTGTGACTCATGAATCCGGCTGCTCATCTATCCACTACGAGTCAGCACACACGTGATGTGATGTGATGTGATGTGACTCAACTGCTGAGCATACAGTAATCACGTGTGCGGATGCGGCTGCGATGGCGCGTGCGCGTGAGATGACACAATTGCCTGATGGGCTTGAGCAGAGTCACGAGTGGTGTGAGCTAGAAGAGTCAGCCTGAGTCATGAGCGGTGGTCATGCACGTACACGCGCTGTGCAAGTGCGTGTGCACGACGGTGTGAGCTGGTAGTGGTGGCTTGTACGGGGGGATAGTTGGTTGCGCAGGTGGGATGCAGTAAAGTAGCCTCCACTTGAAGTGGTGCGAAGCAAAGCATCCAGCATCCACGACTTGCGACTTCGGGGCGGGGATTATAAATGGAGCGCATTCCCAATTATCCCTCCATCATCTCGATGTTCGCCATCCCTCATCCTCTTCCTCAACTCAGCAACGCATACCATCCAACATTCACACTTGTCCTGAGCGTGCTCCCTTGTGCATACTCGCATCGCAACACCAACATCTTCCCCACTCGTCATCTCTACGAGCGCCAACATACCCCATCATGTCCTCTTCCATCCCAGGCGTGTCTCTCGGCGGAGATGCCAAGCACATTCGAATCGCTCAGATCGCCTTTGGGACGATGCATTTCACGTGGAAAGCCGCTCCAGAGACGTCGGGTGATATTCTGCAGGTGATCAAAGCGGCGGTAGAAGCCGCATCTCCTCACAAGCTCTTGCTCAACGGTGGAGCCTTTTACGGTCCACCCAACGACGCTTGGGCCAATCTTCGTCTCATCAAGAACTTTTTCGCAGAGTATCCGCAGCTCAGAGAAAAGGTGGTGCTGAGCATCAAGGGCGGGTTCGTCATGGAGGAATATGTAGCAAAAGGTTTTGCGGGTATCAGAACGGATGCGAAGGAGGATAATGTTCGAAGAGACCTGATCAAGATCAAGGAAGAGCTGGGAGGCGATGTGCCTGACATCTACGAGCTGGCCAGGGTGGACCCGCACGTGTCGATCGAGGATCAGATGAAGAACTTGTCCAAGCTAAAGGGAGAGGGCCTGTTCAAGTACATTGGCGTATCGGAAATGGGCGCCGATTCTCTTCGACGAGCGGCCAAGGTTGCGCCGGTCGCGTCGATCGAGGACGAGTACAGCTTGTGGGAGACGGCGGTGGAGGATAATGGCGTGCTGAAAGCTGTGGAAGAACTAGAGATTCCCTTGATAGCTTACAGTCCCACTGGAAAGGGAATGCTCAGCGGTCAGCTCAAGAGTCGAGCGGATCTTCCAGAGGGCGATATCAGACTCCATCAAGATCGCTTCAGCGAAGAGGTAAGCTTCAAAATGCCTGATCAGCGCCGATAAACTTTCCCTCCCCCCCCCACTTTTACGCTCGTTGCTCACCTCTTTCCTCTCGCTCATCTCGCCACTTTGTAGAACTTTGCGGGCAACGTAAAGCTGGGAGAAGCGCTGGCTGAATACGGATCCAAGCACAATCCTCCAGCTACAGCAGCGCAGCAATCCCTCTCTTGGCTGATCGCTCAATCGCCTCAAAAACGTCTCATTGTTCCTCTGCCCGCGACCAGCAAGTTGCAAAGGATCAAGGAGAACTTCGATAGCGCAAAGCCCGAATTCGAATTGGATGCTCAGCAGAGCAAAGAGATTCGAAAGTTGCTGTGAGTTTGCTTCGTCAAAGGGGCCCCAATGGAAAGTTCTTACCGAGCTATACGTCCCTCTTCCTTGTGCTGACCATGTCCTATCCTCCGCAATGCTCTGCAGCGCCGATATTGGAGTCAAGGGAGAACGCTACAATGCTCATATGCGAGCGACCAACCTTTGGGGCTGAACGCGCACGTTCCAAGCGGCACCAATAAGCAGCGTTTCCGTCGACGTGACCAGCCATTCGATCAGAGTCTCCTCGCTCTCGACGCGGCTCTTGTAGCATGCCGAGGTACCTGCGTCTCCTTTGATTTCTTGATTGTAAATCACTTTCTCATCATTCGACTCGTACGAATAACCATCATGATCCTCTGCCTCGTTCCTTTGAGCCCAATAGGCGCTCGTTGTGGTTCCGCATGACTTTCCAGCGCTCTGAATGCAAGACCCAGTCTTGAATGCTGATGCGATCTGTTCGCGAATCTCTTGGTAGTTTGAGACGAGGCTCCAAGTCCAAAATCTGCTCGAGCGGGAAAGTTTAGCATCGCATAGCGACGCAGACATCGTAAAAGACAATCAGTCGTATCTGGTCGACTGGCCGACTTTGCCAATATAGTGCATTTCGAAGTTTGTTCCTATTGATACAGCTCTTCCGTGTGGCCGGCTTCGTAAGAGACATCGCTATTCCTGCCCCTCGTCCTCGCTATCGCTCGCATAGTTGGCCAAACCTCCCAGTGCGCTAGCGCCGCCTGGTGCCGGTGTAGCTTGTTTGAGCTGCTCGGCTTTCCTTCCTTCACCATGGCCCACCACACTACCTTTGCCATTGGCTTGACTGCGATTCACGAGCCCTCGAAGATCTCCAAGGGTGGCAAGGTCGATGAATTTGCTCTGTTGTGCTTGTGTTGCAGCAGCTTGAAGCTGAGGCGCCGGAACGTTCTGCGCAGGCTCACCGCCCATGGATGCCCATCCCGCTTCGTTTTCCCTTAGCAGCTGTTCATACTCTTCGTCCGTCATCTCCGTCGATGGGTGTTCTTCTATTCTTGGCCTTTTGATCTGCGTACCATCCTCTTGCTGTGCCCCATCAACATCGCCTTCTGCTTCGACCGGTCCTTCGAGCCTGTGCAGCCCTCTCAGCGCATCTCTCTGCTCCTCGCTCATCTTTTCCCACATCCTCTCGCTTCCCAAAGTCTGCCTCTCTCTGTGATCCCTCTTCTGAGCTCCTGGATTGGGATCATCCGTGGCCCATCGCACGTTCAAAACCTCGTTGTGGTCCAGCGATTGGTTGGACATGGCCTCTTTTGCGAATTGAGCCGAAGATTCGAAAGTGTAGGTCACGAAGGCGCAAGAACGCGTGTGCAGCACTTTGACTGCGAGGCGAGGACATCCGTGGAAAGGAGGATGTTCGTGGAGCTCAAGCATCGAACTTGAGCACGCAAGCACAATCGCACCACTCACCCCTCTGAATCTCTCCAAACTCTCCAAAGTGCCTTCTCAGTACCATTTCCGTCCCGCTCATTCCCATCTTTCTCTCCTTTTCCCTCTTCTTTTCTCTTTGTTCCCTGGTCAAGCTCGTCGTATTCCTTCCCACATCCCTCCAATTCTGCTGAGACATGTTCGCTGCGCCACTTTGACCGCCACCTCTCGAAAACGCGTCGTTCTCCTCCACGATGCGTCCAATGTAAAGCGTTCTATTGACGCGTTCCAGCGAGCCCACGCCGCCCATGTCGTCCCTATAGTCTCCGTGCTTTTCCCTACCAAAAACATCTCGACCTTGTTCGGGCAGATCCTTGACCTCGGGTAGACGATGATAGAAATCGCACTTGTTTCCCAATGGACAATAACCCCTCGCAAAGAAGAGGCACACAAATCCTCCACCTGCCCCCTTTGTGTCTGCCCGCGTCCAACCGCTATCTCGAGCTACATCCACCCGCGTCTCGCTCTTGATCTTGTTCGACATTGTATCTTCCCGATCCCCACCGCTGTACTTGTTGTACCAGATATTGTACGTCAAGCCGCTCTGAGATGCTTTATCGTTGGCCAAACGGATCGCGTCCAGCTTGGCTTGCGTGATCTGCTGACGAGCTGGACGGGCTGCGTAACCGCTTTTGGTAGGAGTAGCAGACGATGTGAGCGATGACGACCCGTTCATGCTCGCGCTCGTGCTGGACTTCATTAGGGTCCCGCTGGAGGAGAAAGAAGCTACACCAGCAGACTGCGATCCGCCTTGCCCCTCTACATCTCCCCCGAAGGCGGCAGAGGCTTTGGCTGCGTTCATCTTGTATGCTGTCTGGGTAGGGGCACCTGTACGCTATGCTGATCAACGCGAGAGGGTGCCGAGTGTATGCGCTACGGTGTGACGAGATGTGGTGGGGAGCGAGTGCGTCCGGTGGAGTCGTGGGCCCAAAAGATGGGAGAATCGAATCAGAATTGATTCAAATTATACGCAAGCAGCACGCAGTTACGAACCAGCACGCGGCGAGCGGCTTGCGCTCATTTTGGTGCTCACGTGATGGTGCCTCGCATCGACTTTTGATTTTGCCTGCCTGAATCGTGAATCTTGAATAAGCGCGCCACTCGTGACTGACCCAAGCCACTCAAGCGGCACGGGATCAACCACGGGGCTGACCTGCGCGACCAGTCTTCGCTTACCTATCCCCATTGGCTCCTCACGACAGCGCAACGCACCACTCGACCTCCGCTTCCTCCATTCGTGATTCGTAATTCGTAATTCGTGACCCTTGACCTCTTCCCTTGGCAACTGGCCAGCTCTACGACACTGACAATCAGTTGGGTACACCCACTGACTTGTGCCTTGCTGGACATTCAGCACAGCGGTCTGCAGAGCATCAGAAGCGGTCCAATCGACGCAAGTCACACTCAAGACTCGAAAGGGAGGAAGAAGAAGATGACTATTCTCGCATCCAATCCCTCTCCGCAAACGCAAACACAACCGCAAACGCAAACGCAAACGTCCCAATCTGCCGCATCATCCATCGCACCGCAGTCAAGCGCGAGCTCAAGCCCTCGCATTGCATCCAAACCCAATTTCGAACCCAACGCGCTCGCCTCTTCCCAAGCCAATCCCTTTCTCCCCTCTCCCCATCCAGCACCTCAATCCTTCTCTCCTCGTTTTCCCCAGCCGCTGGAGTATAGTTGGTCCGAAGCTCGTCTCTCCTCTTCTCGTCCTTCTCTATCTCCTCTTCCATCTCAAAATTTCCTCTGGTCAGACGTCCACTCGCAAGCACGCGACCACGACAATATGGAGGAGGGATTGGATCAAGAGTATTACTTGAACAGGACAGGCTGTGGAGTCCCGCTCAATAGGCTTTGTGCGGTCTGCTATGCCGCACCCCCTTTGAGCTCTTTGGGAATCTTGGCGCTGGAGAGGGAGAATGTGAGTGCATTGTCAAGTCTTTGGCATCGGGCGCGGGCGTAGAGTGGCAAGAAGCTGGGATTGAAGCGCATACACGCGCTCACTGACAGCCATGCCAAGCCCTTGCCACCATCGAGCAGAGAATGGTGCATGGGATCAGAATGCATTCGTGGCGCATGCTGACGCAAACATTTCCCCCCCCCCCCCCCCTCACCCTCCTCCCCTTCTCCCAATGCCTGCCTAGCCAATCGCTCGATTTCACGCGCTTCAAATCAGCCTCACATCTGTTCCCTACCTGCTCAATCTGTGGGTTTGGCGCAGCTTTTTCGGTCTCACGTGGCTGCCCATCGTCTTTTTCTTTGCCGGATTGGGCTGGTGTTGGGTTGCCGGGTAAGTTTGTCAATTTTCACTCTCAGTTTCTAGCAGAGGGAAAACTCGAATTGTATGCGCTTGGGCTAGGGTCTGGACCAGAACGGCAGAGGGAATGAGAAAAAGAGGGTGCAAAATACTGATCCTCTCCGTCTCGCTCCTCGTCGATAGGTCTACAGCTGCCAAAGCTTCCGCAAGTCTGGCCAGAGTACCATATCTACCCTTTGTCGGTCCTCGCGTCGAAAGATGGATAGAGCGAGAATGAGGAAGCATCCATTCGATCTTGGCCAAGCGAGGCGCTGCGCTTCTTGCGATGGCTTCTTTCGTGCAAGAAGAGGCAGACATGTGACGCATACTGGCCGGAGCTGGGATCGGATGAGTAGCATGTCGAACGCGATCTGCGAGCTGGAGCGAGCGAGAGATGCAGGAACGCGCTTCTGATGTGATTGCGGCGAAGCAAGGTTTTGCAAGGTCGGCGGAGGAGCTCTGGAAAGAATTTCGCACAGATGCATCGGGTCGACTGCGCAGGCTACATGCGCTTCGCAACATGACGCTCCGACGAGTGGGGTGTGTGTGCATTTCCGAAAGGAGCTAAAAGGAGAGCCGACGCAGCAGAGCGACAGAGCTTCGCAAGGTTTCAACTTGGCGTACGCGCGCAGCACGACCCGAGCGCATCGGCGCAAATCAGGCTCGCATTGCGCAGGAACGGGAACCCTGATCAGATCTTGTGGCGGCTACGATCTCCACAATGCGGTGTAAGATGGGAAGAGATTGGAGAAGGGAATGACAAGGAACCTCGTATAGCTACACATCTTTGCAAGGAATGTATGTACAGTGAGAGGAGAGCACGGATCTGTGATTTGCGGAGCGTGGCGAGCTCTGCTACGCTCTGTACGGCACGTTCTCACCAGCACGCAAAAAAAAAAATACCAAAAGTTGAAGGGGTGCTCTGTGGTCAAGCAGATGGCGGCGGCGGCAGAGAATGGCTATGCGGACCGTCCATCTCGAAGTCCTCCCCCTCCACCTGCGCTGCTTTGCCTTTGTTCTTTCCTTGACCCTTGCCTTGGCCCTCTTTCACCTCGTTTTTGCGCATGAACAGACTGATCAACAGCGATTCGCCAATCTCCATGCCGTCGCTGGTGACGAGTTGCCAAGTCTCTTCGACCAATACGGTGCTCATCATCTCGCTGGTGGGAAAGGCGGGAAGCTTCAATCCTCGAATGGTGATGCAAGCTTCTTGACCTGGCGAAAGCGTCTTTTGAGGAATCGAGAAGCTCGCATCGTCCGTATCGCAACACAGAGCCGATCGGGTGCTTTTCCTTAGCAAGAGCAGAGTGCGTCCCCAAAGCGTGTGGGCAAGGGTGGACGAGTCTGGTCGGATGTTGTTCGTTGGACCTTTGGCGTCTATCAAGGGCCAAGAGCGAGTGGAGGAGTTTCTGATTTGCCAACTGTGCGCTATCGTCGCTCCTTCAGGCACCATGCGAGGTTTCCAAGCATCGGTGTAATTCTCGTTGGGACCCCACCTGCTGGTGGAGGTGAGAATCGTGGCCTGAAAAGGTGCTAGCCCATACGTGGACTTGCTCATGGGCCTGTGAGCAGGTCCGCAAGGCCGATTTCCTGGCGGCTCAGACTTGATATGCACAGAAGCCGTCATCTCCGCATCGACCTGCTTCGCCTCTTGCTGCGCGGTCTGCGCATAAGGCTGCACTCGGATCCGCACGATCAAAGGATCTCCGAAATTGTTGCCCGTCAGCGTATTGTCCACCAATCTCCAGCTCTCTTCGTATGTGCCTGGAAGCTCTGGAGCTCTCAAATTCCAGAGCGTAATGGTTATCACGCTGCCTGGCCAGATCGTGGCGTCCGATACCGTCCGAAGCGTATGACTGTCGGGTCGAGAAAGGGTCGGCATACTTTGACGCGCTATACGTGCTCCCTTGCTCCAGGCTGGTGACTCGTCCGGGATTTGCACCTTCCACGACTTGGCAAAGATCGCGCCCGGTTGTACCGAGCTTCCCCACGGTGTCTCTCCATCTTCTATCATTTGCGCTTGCCAAACAAGTGTTCGCCGAGGGTCTGCCTCTTGACGTGTCGGAGCGGCGCTAGGAGGAATTTCCTGCCATTCTGCAGAAGAGTCGCTGATGGAGGGCTCGACAGGATCCCGACCTGCTGGTGTGAACCTGGAAGGTGCTGCAAGCAGAGCGAGAGGATTGACTTTATTGCGTTCCATCGGATCGTTCTCTTCATTTTGCAGCAGAGCAGCAATGACTCCGTCCAGTGCTGTCCTGTCTAGAAGGTCTACCTCCTTGCACGAATCGATGGGAAGCTTGTACTTCAGCAACGGATGGTCGCGTGGATGTGGAGCGATAGGACTAGCTTCGCAATTCTCGCACAGATTGACCCCTTTGCATGCCTCGTCCGGAGTAGCGCACCTGTACCTGGCACCTATGATAGCGCCCTGACAAGCTGAGCAACTGATACCCAGATGAAAGATCGTCTTTGGATCTGCATACTCGTTGACTGACGAAGCATTGCGGTGCGTTCTGGATCCCAATTGAGTTTGCTGCTGAGGTCTCCAGACATCCTTGGCTCCCATCACCTTGACAAACGTATGGTGAGGATGATTCTCATCCACCACCATTCCAAAGCACTCATCGCAAGCGTTCCACTTTCCACCAGGACAGTCCAAGCACACCCATCTGATGGACGATCTGAGGTTCTCTCCGCACATTTCGCACGCTGCTCCGTGCGTTGCTGATGGGCCTCGCTGGCTGTTTTGAGTCGCGATGGATATGGCTGCTCCGCCAAAAACTTCGGAAGAAGTGTAGCGTCCCGCCGCTATGCCGGATTGGGTGGGCGTGGAAGCGCCAGATCTCGAGGTGTGGTTTGAGCCGTTGTCGCCAGTCGGCGTGGACGCGTCCATGCCCGACGGGGGAAGCACTGCACGAGGAGCTTGATGCTTGGTCAATAGACTGACGAGCTGATCTCGAATCTCTTCCATGCGTCTTGCGGTCGCTTCGTTGGGGGGTGGGGGCGTAGGCGAAGGATCCATCATCGAGGCAGGTTGCGCCGCGCTGCTGCTGCTGCTGCTGCTGCTGCTCTCGAGTGTGCTTCTTGCTTCTGCTGCGGCGTCCAGCGTGCGATCGCCATTCGAACCCTCGGAGGATCGCCGTGAAGCAGCAGCAGCTTGCGCCTCCTCCGCAGATGAGAGATCCATCCTCTCCACAGGTGGGATCAGCTGCACACTTTCTCCAGCCATGCTCCGTCCAGTCTCGCCGTCGCCGTCGCCGTCGCCTCCCGATTCGCTTCGCGCACCAAATTCGCTCGAATGTATGCTCCTCACATCCTCCGCAGCCTCTTCCGCCGCTCTCTTTCTGCTCATCTCTGGCTGGATACGTTCCCACGAACCTTGCGTATCCGTCGCGCTCGCGGTAGAGGTAGAGCTGCCGCCGTCCGGCGAGCTCGCTCTAGCGCGCCATTCGTGAGAAGTCATCGCTGCTATCGTGTCGAGCTCGACGTTTTGTCTCTGTACCTTGTGAGCTTGCAGGACGTGAGTGGGATTCGCTTTTGAGTGTGACAGACAAACGAGAGCGAAAGACTTGGACGTGTCGTGTCGTGGGAGCAAGCAAAAAGAGACGATTCGATTCAAAATAAGCCGCTTTGCCGACTGGAGGAAACCACATGGGCACCCGACCAAAAAGTCGATGTACTTGTAAAGCGGAGAGGGGCAACAGTCACAGCCACAGTCACAGTCAAAGTGCGCGGAGTCACCACGCAGCAGCGGCGTGCTGAGTCCATGCTGCTGAGCGTGCCATTGTGATTGCACAGCAATCCCTCTGAACCCTATCATAGCATACGAACCAACGCCCCCGCCCGATTGTGCCTGCATGCATGCCTCCAGCGCATTTTCCGCTCCAACATGGCCAAGCGAAGGAGGGAGCCAGGCAACCAGGCAGGCAGGCAAGCAGGCAGGCAAGCAGGCAGGCAGGCAAGCAGGCAGGCAGGCAGGCAGCTAGGCGAATGTGCAAAACCCTTCATTCACATTGCCACCTTGAGGGCGCCGGCCACACCATACCCGCACGCACACACGTCGCAATCACGAACAGCACTTGACTCAAATCGCGAACTCGTGACACAGACTTCCATCACTGTGACTCACGACTCCCAATAAAGTGCGACAACGGCAAGCGCTGAGCGAGCCCAGCAGCAGCAGGCAGCCATCGTGATTGCAACCATAATTAACCTCGTGCAGCTCAGCAGCAAGTGCGAGTAAATAGCATTTCCGCTGAAAAGCCAAGCTAGCCCGTTGCCGTGCACACAAGCAAAGGCAAAGGTGAATTTAGCGGGGACGGATGGATGGACGCCACCGCACCGCACCGCACCGCATGGTCCATCATCCCATTCGGTCCGATGTGGACGGTAGGGTAGGGTAGGGTACAGGAAGCGGTGTCGCGCAGCAACCCTTGCGTGCGTGCGTGCGTGCGTGCGTGCGTGCGTGGCCATGCATTCGACGCTAAAACTCACGAAGCCCCGCGGACGTGGTCGCCGTCATTTCGTTCATGCGGCCGTCCAAGCTGTCCGCTGAGCACGCGTGTGCGTGTGCGTGTGCGTGTGCGTGTGCGTGTGCGTGTGCGTGTGCGTAACGACTGCCATGCAGCTAGCTTACAGCTGGTAAACTCGTGGAACTCGATTCTCGACTGGATCGGATGACTCGACGCGCAGAGGCCATGCGTGCATGCACTTGTACGATTCCCCATCCTTCCGCGGCCAACTAACTCACCAGTTGAGTCACAATCGCGAATTCGCAAAAAGCTATAGTCACAGTCCGTGATTTTTTGAACCTTGCAAAATCGACTCCGAGTCAGTCGCGAGTCTCGAGTTACGAAGTCCGCTCGGAGCGCAAAAGGGGAGGGAAGGGGGAGGTGCCACACTCACCAACCTTTTTGCCAATCAGTGCAAAAGGTGTTCATTTGTGGAGAGAGAGAGAGCAGACCGGTGGACTGCTCTTTCCGTTCAGCCAGCGTCTTGCGCTTGCGCATCAATGAAATCAAGCGCTAAAGCGAGCCGTCTGTGCGTGCTCAAGTGTCACAGTCCAACCAGTAGAGGGTTTCTCGTGCGGGCCATGCGACTCGCTAGGGTCGCCTGAAAGGAGCTGCAGGAAGCGAGTCTGATTGGTATTTGTATTCGAAAGGACACTCATACGCGCGAGATGGAGAGATCGTTCAAACGGCGGGGAAAGAGAAAGAGGGCTTGAGAGGAACGGCAAGGGGGGCACGTTTGAATGTCTGGCGGTATACACTGATCTGGTCAGACCATCTTGCAGGTAAAAATAAAGGAATCGTTGAGTCGAATCTGCACAGAACCCAATGCAGCCAGCATTCTCCTTCTTCACCATTCAATCGAGCCGAGATGCAGGTAATTGGTTCGTGCTGAGATGGAATGTCGAAGCTTGCAGTAAGCTGGCGACGATGCCAAGGAGTCGATGATGCGGCGCAGAAACGCTTCCCAGTGGACGAGGCGTGCGCGAAGAGAGGCGCAGAGGAAACTTTGTTTGCCTACCTACCCGCCTGCCTCGCTCACGCTCGCCGCTCATTGCGCCTTCTTCGATTCGCTCTTGACCACATCATGCAGCGGATCGTCTTCCGACTTGGGTTGCCTGTAGGATCCGCCCAACCTGTCGCAACCGGTAAAGTATTGTCCGTAGTTGACGTTAAAATAGAGGTGATGAAGCGTATGGTGAGAAGGTCCGTTGATGATCTTTTCCAGCGGAGAATTGACAATCATGTCGGAATCGTGAATGAGGATGCTCCAACAATTCACAAAGACGAATAGGCCAATGTAGATGTATCGGTGCAGAGGGAACAAAAAGACGAAAATGTGGTAGGGTAATGATTGCGCATATCCGTCCAGTGGGTGGAAAGCGTGGGAGGCAAAGGGTGTTGGAACCAACCACTTGTGGTGAGGCTTGTGGATGTGCTTGTAGAGGCGCGGATGATGCTCCAATCTGTGCACCCAATAGATGCAGGCATCCGTGAAAACCAGGAAGAAAGGCACGCTAAAGATGGCGTAGGCGATGCCGTAATCGCTGATGTTTTCGTAGAGCATAGAGTGACCTCGCACTTCCGCGACGAACCATGGCAGGGTGAGAATGTCCAGCGGCAAGAACGCTCTCAGGGATGATTCGATCTCCAGCCGCACTTGGTTCTTTAGGAATCGCGGGTGCTTCTTCATGTCGTGGTTGAAGAAAAAGTAGTAGGAGAGACCGGCAAAGCTAAAGTACAGCAGCATGATGCCGACCAGAGTGATGGCGTAGAGCGAGATGCATTGTCTAGATTGTTGCAGCGAGAGAAAGATGATGTGCGGTGAGCAGCTGAAATTCGACGCGGACACTTACCCACCATCTGCCCCTTTCGTCCCGCTTGCTCAAGCTCAAGAAGAAGCCTGATGCCAGGATCACGAAAAAATTGCGCATAGACTCACCTCAAGAAGTGATCTCTGCCCCATCTGCTCGAGTTGACCAATTCTTCTAATCCTTGCGCAGCAGCCTGTTGAGCTGCCAAGCCAGCCTGCTGTGCCGCTCTGGCTGTGGCGTCCCGAGCACCGCTGCCCGCACTCGACCTGCTGGTCCAGTTGAGGACACCATGAGTCAAGTTCTGAATAGCGCTGGGTGTAGCTCGTGCGGCTGCTGCTAGAGACTCGGCAGATTTGGCCGCCTGACCTGCTCGAGCAAGACGAGCTGGAATGGAAGGTAGAGCCCAAGCCCAGGCTCTGTCCAGTACCCATTCGTCGGCGTAGTGCAAAACGACGTCCATGACGGTCGAGATCGAGGTGCTTGCAGTCTTGTTGGGGTGGTGTCAAGCGCGATGCGTTGTTCTATGCCGAGAGTCGCTCGCGAGAACAAGGGAAGCTTGCCACTGATGCGCGTGTGAAGGTGGTGCTACGAGAAGCGGACCGACAACGAGGGCCCACACGTCGTGATGCTGGTGATGAGTCTAGCGGTATACCGAGCAGCGACGGCCTTCTGATCTTGTATGCGCCGTTGACCTTGTACAAGTAACTTGATTTTCTTTAGGCTTTGATCTCAGGCGAGGCGTGCTGTTCACTGAATGGTCCACTTGAAATATCGCGCCTAGGAAGAAGATATTCCGCGGTCCGTGGATAGTCTGCTCAGGCGTTGCGTGGCGTATTGCTGAAGAGCAGAAATGTCACTTGAGAAAGATGGAGACGCGCGGGCTGGTAGAAGCGCTGCAGTGGATGCGGTATAGAGAGTGAGAGAGAGAGAGACAGCAGGGAAAGGGAAATGGGGGGTGAGACGGGGGTCGCAAGGCAAGCAAGATCCAGCCATAGCGAGCGAGACGAGGCCGATTGACGTTGCTGTTCAAAAGTGGTCCAAGAATAAGCGCATCTGCATGGGCTGCTGCTGCTGGAAGCCGAAGATTCCGCGGTGAACGCCGCGCGTGCGTGCGCCGCGGCGTGCCTTGTTGATGTGCATTGTATACGCGCGTACGTGCTCCATAAGCTCAAAAACACAAGACTTTGACTGCTCCAGCGCTTCCCTGCGGAAAAGCTGGCTGCAGCGCTCTCGCGCGCGGCGCGCGCCAGGAAGAACTCAAATATCATGCGAAATAATCAGCTCACGCGCGGCCGTGGTCAAGCGCGCGCGCGCGAGGATTATAGCATGCATGCGTGCAGTCGCAGGCTCGCTCGTGATGACAGGCCCTTTGCTGCTGCTGCTATAGACTTCTGATGTGCGTGTATATACATATATATATACATATACAGCTGCATGGCGATTTGCATGCTGCATGTGCGTGCCAAAAATCAGCCCATCCTGCTCGCTTGATTGTGCGTGACGCGCGTGACGAGCGGCGCGTACCGTAGCGTACACTAAAAATCTCGAATGCAGCAGCTGATGTGCGGCATGAGTTGCTATTACTGTATATCCGACCGACCTATACTGGGTCCTGCGCGGGGCGCGTTTCTCATTGAATCTTGAAACTTTGACTTTGAATCTTGCTGCATGCTCCCAGTTCCCGTCTGCGATATACAATGTGAATGATAGACAAGGATAAGGCACGCTCAAGCTCTTGATTCTGCTATATAGCCAGGGGTATTGCCCCTCTGCCTCCCTGCCCTCGAAGTTCAACGGTCGTGCCGCTAATGGAACTGTGAAGCATCGAGCAAGGATTCTTGATTCAAATCGCTCCGCAAGTCGATGCAGAGGCTGCAGGAGATGCCGGATCTCTATGCAAATCAAGAATGCCGTCCAAAAATCAAGGTCCGAAACTCTAGTCACGTGTAGCTTCCTTTGGCTTGTCCATGAAATCAAGATCGTCCGCCAGAGCAGCAACGATACGTCTGCCGACTGCGGGGTGGACGTGCGACGAAGGCAAGCTTTGCTGCTGGCGTTTGCTCGAGTCACAGTCGTGGCCGGGTGATGTGGGACGATGTCTGGGTCACGATAGATGGATCATGCGAGTCAATCGAAATATTGGCCACACTGATTGAGTCACACCAGCTACGGAGGGATGTTCAAATCAGTCATGCAGAAGAGGTCTAGCTTGAGTGAGGGTGAGCGTGCGCTTGTGCTCGTGGGCCATATCTGATCTGCATCAACGAAAATGCATGACTTGCCGGCTGCACGGCTTGATTCGGGCATCAGCGCACTGTCGCCTCCATATTCACTACTCAACTGCACGGAGCGCAGAAGTCACCGTCGAATTCATTGCTGCAGAAGTCGTGATCAAGGATACTCGGTAAGAAATGTGATAGGTACAAGATATTGTTAATACAAATCATCATGCCGGACCGGACATGCCAAAGAAGCGAGGACTCGATTCGAGCTTCGCTTGCACGAGAGCAGTGTGAGTGGCCCAAGTGTGCTTGCATCTTGCCAGTATCCTCTCCTTCTGTTTGTGCTTGTGCAGTCAAAGAGTGTGGGCATGGGGACATCAGATCAGATGACCAGTCTGATGAGTGTGTGTCCGCTTGACTGACTGCCTGCCGATTCGTGCGCGCTGCTGAGGCCGCTGATTATCAGCATACATGCATGCAGCAGCAGCCTGTTGCGAACAAGCGACCGAGATCAAGCCCCCCAAAGTCGCTATTCACAATTATAAGACTCACGATAAGACTCACGACTGTGCGCGGAAAATCTCCACGGGGACCTGGCTGCGCGCGCCCACGCGTGTCACGCGACTTTTTACACGCGCGGGCATGAGACCCGTCTGTCGTACGAGAGGGATAGACAATGGCCAGTGAGATCACGTGTGTGATCCTCTCGCACCTTTTGCTGCCGCGGCTTCACTTCACCGACCGACTTGTGACTTTGTTAGGTGTTGTGATGTGTTCCCCCATCTGTATGCGGTCAAGAGCAGATTCGCCCATCCACGCTTGTCGATCATCATTTCCCTCAAAAGCATCGCGTAGGACCACCCTCACTCTGAAAGCTTCGGATCGACCAGCAACGCGGAACACGCACCTTGCTCAAAGGCAGCGGGCCTCTCAAAATGTACAGCGCCGAATCAACGCACAAACGTCGAAGAAGCGCACTCCGAGCGGACGAAAAGAGGAATCCCGTATCCGTGCTGGCTCACGCTTCTTCCCGGCGCATCCTATCCACATTTCACGACGATGCATGTAGAGAAGCCTGTGCGACTGAGCAAGGAAAGGGCAAAGGGAGGGCCTTGGATGAGCTGCAAAAGAGGGTGACGGGACAGTTGGTGGGCGCTCACTGCGTAAGTAGTCGACGCGGCGGCGGTGGCAGCTCATGTGCCTTATCCCCGTGATACGTGACATCATCTGAGATCTTTTCCGCTTCCATACCACATCCATCTTGCCCACGCCAACACAGCTCCAGATCATCATGCCGACCGCGAGCTCGTTGCCGTCCAGCGTGCATGCTCAGCATGCCTCATCCAGCAAAGCACCTACCGCACTCGCATCCAACCTCGATGCCCCCCTCACTCCATCGCTGGCAAACTTGAGCGGCAGTCCGGCGCTGATCCTTTTGCGCATCTCGGATCTCTTGACGAATGGCGTCCTACTACAAATGGCCAAGAGGCCAGAGGATGAGTTGACTCTGATCGCTAGCACCGCTAGCTCGAGCGATGGGGATACGTGGACCCTGGTGGACGGTGCGTCTGTCACATTCTCTACGTGATTGGTTGAAGCTCTTGTCGAACCTACTTTCCGCTTACTCTTTCCTTATTGCGACACACTTCCCAGGCACATTGCACCTTTCGGTCCAAAGAAGCACCTACCTCTCACTAGGTTTGGTGGGCAGACCAAGCTCTTTCTGTCGAACCTCGTCAGGCCGCTATTCGGATCGACGCTCAGGCTCAGTGGAAAGATTTCGCATCGACATTGACATTAGAGCCAAATCTTTCGCCCCTGCAAAAAAGGGCTTCGAAAGGGTCAAGAGAGCGCTACAATGGTGGGATTCGCACAGGAACAGCGACATGGATGCCTCGTGGGAAGTGGTGGGTTGTTGGAATGGCCAGCAGAGCTGTGAGTCATTCTGGGCGAACGCATGATTTGTAGAGCAGTGAGCTTATCCTCCTCTCTGCTGGGTGTGTGCGGTCATATCAGTTCCCCTGCCCATCGCATTGGACCTCTCGACACGACCTCTTGTCAAGGAGATGGAAGACGTTTGGGTACCCAACTTGTCATACTTTTACCAGTCATCTCTCGATGATGCATCGTGCTTGGATCAATGGGATCAGACATGGCAGCACATATCCGAGTGGAGCGCGCTTGTCAGCTTGGGAGTGGAATGGTGAGCAGTATGCGAGCAGACTCGAGGTGAAATAATGCCGACTCAGACAATAGCGTGTTGCCTCTGCCCCGGCGCAGCATACGTACCTACGCACGCCCCAGCCATACCTGCAGGCTGCCCACGGAGGAGTGGGAGCAACTCAGTGCCTATGCGCATGGGGTGAAGATTATCACTTACGAGGGTCCCCTTTGCCCTAGTCAAGTGCAGAGCATTTTCTGCTCCCTGCAGAAAGATGTGGATGCCCAGGGACTCGAGGCAACGCAAAGCAGAAAGGCGGCAGGGCCGAAAGAGAGAAATCAGCAACGGGAGGGCGAAAAGGACGTCGAAAGGTGTGATGCAGAAATGCCCTGGGCCTTTGTTAGCTGCACCGCTTGGCAAGGGAGCTGCGTCGCTTGGCGATCGAAGGAGAGCAAGACTGACCGAGCTGAGTCGGGCGTGACTCGTCGGAGAAGAGTCGTGCGGGAACGCGACGAGGCGGAAGATGAAGCCTCGGAAATCGACGACAACCCGAGCGATTTGGTTGGGTATGGCACCGAGCAAGACGCCATGTCCGTAGACTCCTCGAGCTCGGCCGCAGAGGCCGACGATGCGCATCGTGCGACTTTGGACGCGTCGGAAGCTGTATCCGCAGCAGCGGGCGCGACAGGCGCAAAGAAGCGCAAGAAGACGTGGCAAGGGAGTGGAAAAGCGGCTCGACGAGCTCGATCGAAGAGGGTGCAGAGGAGGGGCCATCGAAGGGCTGGGGAGAATGAGCACGCTGATGAAGTTGCTGGAGGCGGCGGTCCTGCTGGTTGGTCCGTCCTGCTCTTCCCTTCCTACAGCCCTGACGAGGCAACAACCTCTGGGTTTAGCGCGGACGAAAATTGCGGTGCCAAGGATGAATGTCACCTCTGGAGGAGACCAAAGTGCAGGTGGATGGCCTCCGAGAATGTAGGTATCGACACGCGCAATTGAAATGGATAGATGTACTCCTGCTTGCATAGTTTGCCACAGCTCCACTGTGCTCGCAAGTCGGGTGCCGAAATGAAAGGTGATGCATTCACAGAAGGAGCCTCCGAAACAAAAGTACAGCGTGGTCGTCAGGTCCAAGCACATAAGAAAGGTGGGGGGGTATGAACGGTGAACATGCGAGTCGGTGAACAAAGAGAACTCAAAGTAGGTGAGGTTCGTAGAAAATCTGCAAGGATCAAAAATCAGAAAAAGCCCCACTTGGACGAGGAATTGCGCTGAGGGGCCTGTTTTTCCTGGTAGACCTGTTGAGGGTGTATTACGGATTGTTACATGAGCGTGATATTCGCAAAGATCGTGCAAAGGTGCCGTGGCGGCGCGACATACCTTGACAAGAGCATCCAACTTCTCCATGACCATTTCCAATTTTTCCTTTCTCTCTTGCAGATCGAGATGCTTCCTCACGTCTGGGTTTTCCCTCGCAAATCTGGAAATCTCTTCTTTGCCTAGATCGTAGATCAAGTGGCTATCGATCTCTCGGGGAAATTGGTAGAAGAATTCTGCGAGAAGCTCGATGTTGATGAACATGACCGAGGTGTACGCTAGCTTGTCGGCTACGACGCTGAGGAAGGCTTCTGGGCAAAAAGCTTTGGCTTCAGGTCCTCCCGTCTTGCACCTCTTGGCCCGCAGCGCTGCAGCTCGCATCTTGAGTATTGCGCTCCTGTCCGCCAAGAAGGTCGACTCTCTCGCCTTGGCAAGCAGTGCGGAATTGTAGTGAGGTTGTGTAGGATCGGACTCTTCCAACAGCGCGTCGGACGTCGCTGGATCTGCAGCATCCGCAGCACCTTCACGAGCCCTCAATCTGGCCAACGCAGCTTTGCGACTCCTCTCCTCGACAGACTTGACATGCGCTTCGGCTTCCCTCAGACGTTTGGAGCCCACAGCCTTTTGGATCCTCTTGAGCGCCTCATCGCACATCCTGAGCTCCTTGTCGAGCAGATCGATGCTTCTTCGACGACCATCCTCCCACTCCACCTGCTCTACCTCCACCTCGTACTTGTATGGTTTGACGCAATTCTCCACCTGATCCGCAGTGATGCCGAACCTCTCTCGCAGGATGGCACTCGCAAAGCCGGCAATGCGCTCAGCAGCGTCGGGATGGTGATTGAAGGGCTCCGCAGATGCGAGACCGTCGATGTGCGCTCTGACGGCATCAGCAACGAGCTGCGTGCTGAGTCGTCCGATGCCTGATTTCGTGAGGGCGCTGGTGCTAGCGTCCAATTTGTACTGCCAATATCTGTCCAGGTCTTGCGCCGTCAACTTCTTATTGTCCGCCAGCTGCGAGAGTTCGGAAGCGCGCGCATCCGTCCAGTACATTTGAGCCAAGATATCCATGACCTTGTCGTCGAAGGCTGTCCGTAAAAGACTGCGAACCTCGGGCTTGCCGAAACCTGCCGCCAAGTCTTTGAAGCGCGCCTTGAGCGCATCCATCGTCTCTGCCACGTACGATTCTGCGCTGATCGATCGATCATTGTATTGTACTTTGAATTGATACGCAGCTTCTTCAAGCTCAATCTGTACCGCATTGGCGATGCCGTGCAAGGATGAGCCCATGCTCTCTTCAAGGACAGCCATGAGCCTTCGCCGCAAAGTCTCGGTTCCCGTTAGGGGCGCCTGTCCGGCATTGCGTCCGCGCACATTCGCGGCCAGGTAGTGCTCCGCATGCTGCGAGAAGTAGTCATTCTCTCCTTGCAAGACGCTTCTAGTAACGTTGCCCTCTCCGCTGACTCCATCGTGTCCCCTCGATGTTCTGAAAGCGCTTGTCATGCCCTTGCAGACGACACCGACGTACCCTAGCGCGAGCGGATACTTGTTGTTGCGTAGGATGGCGGCGCCTTCTTCAGGAGGAACGAGGTCCAGCTTGGTAACGACACCAATCGTTCGCAGACCAAGTGGGTCCACTTTGCGACTAGCGCGCAGGGCAGGGCTATTGGCCAAGTCGACGTCAGCAGCGCAAACGGCGAGGATGATGTTGGGCTCCCGAATGTACTTTTCGCATAGCGTCGAGATCTTTTCTCGCAGCTCTTCCGGCTGATCCATCCCTGCAATTTGCACGTATCCCGGCAAGTCGATCATTGTGAGGTCAGGAACGTGCGGCGAGTGGATTCGCAGCTCAATCGGCTCGTCCGAGACGCACTGCGCCGCAGGCACTGCCATGTTGAGGTCGAAGAGCGTCTTCTGGACTGCTCTGAAGTCGGTGATGCGGCCGAGACCCAGCCCTGGAAACTCTCCGTACTCGACCGGCGTACCTCTGCTTGCGCGGGTTGGCTCTGTGCGGACAAGAGTGAGCTCGATAGGCCTGCGCGTGACCATGTTGGATCCCTTGGGAAGGAACTCATGACCGACAATAGCTTCCAGCACCGACGATTTGCCGCTCGATTGGGAGCCGATGACCACCATTGATGGCAGGGTCAAGGTGTCATCGGCATGGTCGACGGATTTGAGTATGTTCCTGACCTCAATGAGCTTGCGAGTGAGTTGTTGCAACTCTGCGGTGGTGCTGTTAGCCTGCGGTCCATTGCCCTCCTGCTCCGACTCCTTCTCGTCGTCGGCCGCCTTGCCAAGGAGAGTCGCAGCTAAAGCTGCAGCAGCACCTGCCGGGCCTCCGTTGTTCGGCTCCTCATCTCCCTCGCTTGGCTGACGATCTCCGCCGCCACCACCGCTGTTCGCCTCCGCGGCCTCCTGCCTAGCTCTCTGCTTAGCTTCGACGCTAGCCCACCACTCTTTGAAACCTTCTCCAAGTTCCGAGGCACCCTTGCTGAGGTCAGCCAGGCCCCCATTGACAGCCGAGGCTGCGTCCGAGCCGTATATTCCTAGCGTCTCTGCCAAGTCGCCTGCCTTGGTAGTGGCAGAATCGAGCACGCCGCCCATGAAGCCACGAAATTCTGACGGACGTTGAGCAGCAGAAGGGTAAGCTTTGCATTGGTCATGACAGCTCTGTGACAATCCCACAAATTCACTCACCGTCTACCTTGTAGTTAGCATACGCCAACGCCCCTCCAGCGGCACCAAAGGCGTAAGCGGGCACCCTAAATGCTCGCAACGCGGCTCGAGGCACTGAGCTGAAGCTAATGGCGCGCACATGAATGCCTCTCGCCAGCGCAGCATTTTCGAGCGGTAGGAAAGCTCTGTTGAGCCGTGCTTGCGGTCGAAAAAGGGAGTTGTTCCGCGGACTTGCTAATCTGTTTGCGACCACATTGCGCTGAGCGCTTAAGCGCGACAGGCGAGCCAAGGCGGACATTCTTGCAGCAGCACCAGGTCGGCAGCCAGACGGTAACTCTTTCCTTGTGCTGAGCTTGAACGAGTGAAGTTGGGCTTTGTGTTGACGAAGGAGGGGCGACGAGCGTGTGGTCACTTCGCTGGTACCAGGTGACTGATCATAGCCAGGCAAAGCGGTCTGCCGGCGCTATGTGCAAGGACTCAGCACAGGTATATCGCCCATGCGATCGTCTTCTCGACCTCTTGAGTGCCGAAAAGATGCGGCGTTGCGATGTTTCAGGACGTTAGGACGTTCGAAAGGTGAGCTGCACCAAGGATGATGGCTTAAGATGGCAAGCGAGCGTGTGTGAGAGAGAAAGAGAGAGAGAGATAGAGATGGAGAGACGCTTATAGAGGCACACAGAAACGTTGATCCGCGCGCGCTGAGCCAAGCGACGCATGCATAAATTTGATCACGTGATTTTACATGGTGACCTGCGAAGTCATGAGTCCCACGCTCCCGTGTGTGCATGGATGCTTGCGAACCATCCTATCCGAACGTACTATACATGACATCGACTACTAGTCGTGAGTTGGCTTTCACGACCACATCATCTACAACAAGCATTGCCGATTCGATCGTACGGTCTGCGACAGTCAGAACATTTCAACCTCAGTTCCGCGAGCCAACATGATCGTGATTGCGAAGCGCAAAAGCTCCAGGGGCAATGTTCAGAAAGGTCGGCATCGTGTGCTTCGAGGCGGGACCGCTGCTAGCGGGCATCAAGTACCTTCGGGAGGCGAAGCATTGAGCGCATTGTAGAAGGATGGCGTTGCAGGGTCGGATGTCTGCGCAGAGCGCTCCGATGACTGTTGGCCAGCGTCATGCCGCGCCGCTTCCTCTTTCGCTTGCTTCTCAAGTACGCGTTTTCTCCAGATCATGTAATTGAAGTGGCTCGCTGATCTGGGAAAAGGCACTCCGCGCTCCTTTGCGATTTGACCAATCTGCTCGTCAATCACTCGAGTGTCCTTTCCCTGCTTGACTGCGGCTTCTTTTGCTCGGTAGAGAACAGTCATGCCTGTCCATTGATACTTGTCACGCGGTTCGTCGGGTAGCCTCGTCTTCTTGCGAGTACGATTATAGAAGCCGTTCAAAGTATTCGGCACATCAGAAAGCCCTCTTTCCTTGGACTTGGCGTTGATCACCTCCTGAACGTCAGCGTAGGGCTTGCCCTCGGCTCGCGCACGATCTCGCTGATGGTACAACTGCTTCATGCTAAGGCTGCCGAGTGGAGTCGGCTGCGCTCGCAATTGTGCAGCCGCAGCGCGGCCAGCAGCACGCTTGTCTCGCACCTGTCTCCAACCTCCTCCCTTGATATTGACGTAATAGTCGTGCTGGCTCACTGGCGTCCTCACCTTTTCCTTCTCGGCCAGAGCAATGATCTTTGCGTTCCATTCGGATGCGTCTTTGCCTTTGCTCTCAAGCTTGCGCTTGTATTTGAAAAAAGTGCTCATATTATTTGCTTCTCGCGGCTTGCGAGGGCTTTTGGTCGGTTTTGGTGGTCGTGCACTATCTGTCCTCGTCGGCGGGCCTGCGTCCCTTGTGTGCCAAGATGGCTCCGTAATAGTGCGCGGAGAAGTGAGGGGCGATCCGCCAGGTGTGCGCAAAAGCGAGTCGGCGAACTCGTCGGCGTCCGCGTGACTCGTCTGCGTGGGCGAAGCTACGGGCGCTGGGTGATGGAGCCAAGAGTGGACCAAGTGCGAAGGATAGTGCTGCTCGAGGTTGTCGTCTAGCCACGAGAATCCAGGACTGCTGGAAGAGCTGCCAGAACGTTGTGAGCTCGAGGTTGCCTCGTGCCCCTCTTGCCGCGCATGAGACGGCGAATGCAACCAAGAGTGCACCAGGTGCGGATCAAAGTGCCTTGCCGGATCCACTTGCAACCATGAGCTGGCAACGCTTACGGAACGTCGGGGGCTTAGAGGTGCTCCTTTCTCTCGTCGGGGAGGAGACGGCGAGCGAAGCCATGAGTTAACCAAATGATTTGGAAATTCCTTCTCCAGGTCTGCATGCAGCCAATCGTCATCAGACCTTGCTGGATCTTGAGCTCGCGACGCTGTTGCTGGGCGATAGGGCGCAGACGTATGAAGATGTTGCAGATTGTCAGGTGTGCCTGGCACGTGGCTTCCATCCTCAACGAGGTGCGCAACCGAGGAAGCTGGTACGCCGGCGGTGCGAGCGACGAGCTGGGACGTACGAGCGACAAACACGCCGATCAAGGCGAAGCTTGCTAGAAGTTTGGACGGCGAGCAAAGCATGACGTGATGAACAGCTGTTCGGCGATTGACGGAGCTTGTCATCAGCGGCCTGTCTCACGATTGAGCTGTATTTGGGAGGTAGGGTCGTGCAGCCCATGATGCTCTTTGGGTCAGCGTTGCGAGTGCTAAAGTAGCATTCTCGGGCTACAGGGTCACTTGCTATTCACGATACCCTCAGGCGGAACGGACGTATGCGGCATCCTAGCCACTCCAGTCCCATGCTTGCCACATTTGCTCACTCAGAGCCTTCCAATGATCTTTGCGGCCATCGCGAGGACGGATTTGCCACCACGTCGCAAGCCGCAGCTTCTCGAAGCGGTGATGAGCGATGCTTGGCCGGCCTCGCTCTCTGAAGATCGGGATGAAACGACGCCAAGCCTGTCAGCTGATCATGGGCACCCTCTGGCGGTCAGAGCAGGAGCCCGCCACCGATTTGAACGGCTAGGGCCACCCACAGATACGACGATCCGCAAATTGGGAGAATGACGCATCGGTAAGTGGGGGAAATGACAGCTGACAGAGCTCTGTGCGACGCTGCTTCGTTGCAGAGATTTCGCATGCAGGAGATCTGTCGAGACGCGGGTCGAGGTCATCGATAAGAAAAACCTCGCAGATGTGGCGCAGCAAGGAAGCATCAGATTCCGGTAGCGAGATCGGTACTGGCCAGAATGTTGAGAGCGGAGTGGCTTCTGAGCTTCCGCAAAATTGAGGAGCTAAATGGCCATAGATTGACCACGCGTCATTTGCTCGCGGCGTACCTCGCTTCAACATTTCGCCACTCGCCACTTGCTCGCGGTGGACCTCGCTTCAACATTTCGCCATTCGCCACTTGCTCGCGGCATTTTGTTGCTATCCAAGCTTCGCCTTCTTGCCATTGCCACTACCAGGGCGCTCAAAACTTCGAATCTAACATTGCACTGTGCTACTTTGTCGCCACACGCGGCGCTGTCCAAGCACGTCCCAGAACAGCAGGTTGGATGCAATTAAGCCGTGCCGTCCCTCACTCGCTTCTTGTACGTTGAATTGTAGAAGCTTTGCGCCGATGTGGGCATCGGCACGCCAGCGTGGTCGGCAATAGCTTTGATTTTCGTATCAACCTCAGTCGTATCTTGCTCCGACGCTATCAAATTGTCTCGGTGCTGGAACAATCCGTGCATACCAGTCATGGAGCGTTCGGCCTTTGGCAGCTTCCCCGTGCTCGTGTACCATCGTCGAAGCGTAGCAGGAGCATCAGGTAGCCCCAGAGCTTGGGCTTGTCGTCGCATCTCTGCTTTGATCTTTGTTCTCTCCTTTGCATCCTGCTCGTTGCCCAACAGCTGGTAGAGCTTGTGCATCGTATGAAACTCGAGCTCAGAGGATTCGGGGACCGCATGAGCGGCAGTGGTGTGAGCGTCATCGTTCAGATCTCTATGCTCGGCATGTGCGCTCGCGCCCGGAGCATTTCGAGATGCCGTCGGCAATGCAGAATGGGCTGGCAGCTTAACGACAGCGTGGCCCAAAGGCAGTCGTTCTAGGCTCGCACTCCTCCTTCCCGATGGCTCTTCCGGACCCTCTGCCCAAGAGGGTGGGTCGGGCGGGGCGCGAGCTTTTCTGATTCGAGCCGCGAGAGCGTCGATCTCAGCGCGCCGCGTGGATTGAGTCTGAGACTTTCGCATCTGCCTCAGGTGCGTCTCGCTCCGGGGCACCGCTGGCAAATTTGCTGAACGAGCCTTCTTGGCAATGATGGCCTCGAGCAGCGAGGGGTGCTTCTTTCCTGCGTCAGTCCCTCTTTGTCGGACTAAAGTCCGGAGCCTTTGCGCGTTGAACATAGACCGGTGGTATTCCCTCTCTTTCCGGTCGGCGTCGCTCACTAGAGCGACCTGTATGGTGGTAGGCAGGTCAACGTCTGATGCTACTCGAGATTGACGCAAGTGAAGCATTCGTGCTTACTCACTTGAGATGTTGCGCCATCGGACACACGCGGCTCTGCAGCATTGTGAAAATAACTGGGCGAGTGGAAGTGCTCGCGTTGCGCAGTCTGAGGTTGTGGTGTATGAGGTATTTGATCAAGCGGACGCGGCGTCTGGAGTACAGGCATTGGTGTTGACGAGCTAAGCAGAGCATCATGACCGTCGTGTATGGGCCGGTTGGGAATATGTAGATGCTGAGCCCGTGGCGATGAATCAGCCAGCCAGGACGCGAGCAGCTCGGGAGAGAAATGCTGCTCGAGATCTTCGTCCAGCCAAGAGTGGTCGACTTGCCCACTTCGAATGGTTGAATCGTGAGAATGAAACGGTTGCAAAGCCCTTGCAGACGAAGTCGTGGAGTCGAGTTGAGTTGCGGAGCTGCCAATTTGATCAGAAGTCAAGTGATCCAAAGCTCGGCTTGGTAAAGACCCGTAGACGTGATTCGGGAACCGAGGTTTCAGAGGGGGGCCTCGGCGAGCAAGTTGGGTAGGGGCCACTGCCAGCGCGAATGGCAGCATCGCAAGGACAAGCGCTGGTAAGACGATTCTTGGCATCCTGTAATGTGCTAGCATGCTGAGCGGTCCAAGATCTCGAGGGTTCTGAGAAGCGTGATCGATGTGTCTGATGATGCCAATTGCTTCCTTTGCCACTATACATCTAAATTGCTGCCACTCTAAGGAGATAGCGAAGGTTCAACGTTGATCTCACCGTGGTGGTAATGCTCTTTTCGAGGGGTGCAGCAGAATGAGAAGTCCCGTCAGTACATCAAGAGGGCCTTCGAGACGTCGAGTGTCTGGCGATCAGCAGCATCGCGAAAGAAGTAGTAGAGGATTGACCAGATGATATCAATGATGTGACATGCTGAGGTGCGCGAGGACCCATGACCGTGAGTGGCAAGTCCATGGCGGCCTGTCTGATCGAGTTCCGCGGACGACCACGGACATGTTCCGGTCAGGCGCCACATCTGTGTATGACGCCGCAGATGTGGCGAAAGGCCAAGTACAGCAGGCATGCAGGCGTCTGCACTCCGTCCCGGATGAGCGCCAATCCGCGGATAGAAGTCTCCGGAAGTGGGGCCACATGCGCACAGCGCCTGGTGTGTAAGGTCCGGCAAGTACCAAGCGAAGCATTCAAAGGAGTTTCTTAGTGGGAACGCCACTCGAATACCTGGTGATCAAGATCCAGTAAGATTCCTGTCAATAACAAGGAGGTGATGGACGCATTCATTGATGATGATGGTCGTCAAGGACGCGTGTTTGCATGTGCGAAGACGACCTTTATGCGCGCGCGCGCGTTGAACAGGAAGGCGTGCTGCGGGCGGTACTCGGGCGGAAGAGGCGCAGAGCGCCTCGCAGCCTGTCATTCACGATTGTCCAGCAGCCGACATTATTCGTGTTGGCATTCTGATTCCACCTGTGGGTGGCATGTGATCGTCGGATACGGCAAAGCAGCTTCCACAGCAGCCAATAGGCGCCACCTGCTGCGGTCTCCACCTGTCGCCCGTCGTTCGAGCTGTAGAAAGAAAGCATTGGAGTGGCAGAGTGCCTATTGCGCAGCGCCGGAGGGTCTCCTGCTGCTACATGCGTAGTCCGGACTACGGTCGGCCTGAGCGACTAGAGCATACGGAGCAGGCCGAGGCACTTGGCGGCTAGCGCCGCCAAACGAAAGTGTGCTGTTCACATAGAGCCTTCCTGGCGCCATCTTATCTCTGCCTTTGGTGATAGCTAGGGCTCATGTCCTCGGGACGTATTGCTTTGTTCCCGTCGTCTTTCCCTCAGCCTTCTCCGACCTGAGTTTTCTGCGCCGCGAATAGAATTGCGCGACATTCTCCGGGTTCGCCACACCTTCTTCTCGCGCCCTTCGGTCGATCTCAGCTTGAATCTCGCTGATATCTTTCTTGCCCGCTAGTCCTTGACTTTTCATTCTAAAGAGAGCAAGGATACTGGCCTCGGACAAGTCCTTGCCTGTTAGCGGAGGGAAGTCCAACGAATTGGTGGTGAATTCCCATCTACTCTTCGGGATGGGTATGCCGAGCTGCTTTGCTAATGCCGCGATCTGTGTATCAATCTGACTTGCGTCCTTGCCTTCATTCTCCAGCTTGCCCTTCTTCCGTAGCAAGCTGCTCATAGTGGTGCCTGTTCTTTTGGCTGCGGACCATTTCGTTGACGAAAAGGCGGAAGATCCAGCTTTCTGGGGATCTGATGTTGCTGCTGCAGGTTCTGGCCGCTGCATATGCGTCCCGTGGGCATCTTGTGCCTGTGCGGCTTGCACTTTCTGAGCCCTCACCCAGGATCTCATCTGTCGCAGGTGCCAGCCATTTTGAGGCACTTCCGGCAAGCCTTCCGCCTTGGCTTTGGCAAAAATGGCGGAGTGAAGCGCTGCCGAATGCTCTCCATGAGCGGAAAGCTTTTTCTGATCGAGCAGCGTCGGAAGCTTTTGCTTGCCGTATGTACTAGGGTCGACGTGAGTAAGTTTCCGTTTCTGCCTTTTCTTTGTCGCGGGATTGAGAGATTCATCTCCCTCTTCCCCTAAGCTTTCTGTATGTCCAGAGAGATGGGGCGAAGTGGCAGCTGATTGTTCCGCTCGCGTTTGCTCAGGAGTCGACGGGCGGCGCTCAGCGGAACGAGTCTCGGACACTGCTAAAAGGTGCTTCTCCTGTGCTTGCTTCGAAGCCAGGCTAGTGGACGAGGTTGCAGGACTTGGAGTTCCGCGCGTTGGTGAAGGCGTCCTCAGCCAAGAATGCACGAGATCTTCTGGAAAGTGGCTGTGAAGATCTTCGTCCAGCCAGGCGAGAGAATCGTGTTCTTCCCCAGAAGCTTTCGGATGTTGGACATGGTCGTGATTGCTGGTGCGAGCATCAGACAGATGCGAACTCGAGAGATTTCCCGCTGAATGACGTCGCCGCGAAGCCGCTGGAGAAGGAAGCTTCCATGCGTCAAGCTCATGAGGAGCAAAGTCATGATCGAGATCGATCCGAGAATAACCTGAATGACCGGACGAGACGGGACTGTGAGGGCTGCCCGCAGCCACTCCCAGGCGTTGCGCTGATGAGCCCAAGCGCTCGCTGGTGGTCGCCGCTGGTTGCAACTCGCGCAAGCCAGCCCGCAAGCCTCGTCCAGCAGACAGTGCGGCACATGTAGCGGACGTGGAAAGCAGGAGCAGCAGTGCAGGGCAAAGTGACGCGCCGCTGGGTCCTAGTAGCATATCGAACGAAACTTGTGTTTGAAGAGTAAAGAAAAAGAAAGAAAAAGTGAGTCGAAGTGACGGCGTGTCTTGGCACGAAAGTCTTCTTGCGTTTTTTGTGGAAGCATCCATGGGTTCCAGACAGAAGTCGTGATTTTAGTCACTTAAGTACCTTCAAGATACTCCGATTCAGAGCGTGCCGCATTGAGGAACGAGTTAAAAAAGTCGAGTGGAGTCCAAGACGGATACACACGCTGCCGCATGAGTCATCCGATTCACCGGCTGTCATTGGAACGGAGTATCCTATGGTGCCTAGCCATCCAATCGGACCAATGATAGTGTATAGCGGCCGTCAGTGAATGGGCTGATGCCCGATGGGCCTCTCTTTTGATCGGACGCACTGCTGGAAGGTGGCGTTGTGAAGATAATATCGGAAGGCGCATCAGCGCCAACGTCCGTCAGCCCGATCGCCGGCTTTGAAGCTCCAGCCAGCATCGACAATGTTGAGACAAGATGCTCGTCATGCCACACGTTCGCGCACCCTTCATCTCTCTTCGGCATCGCGAGTCTTATCGGAGCGCAAGCGGGGCGTGAAGCAGAGGCGGAATTGGAGAAATTATCTCGCCGCTGTCTTGTGCCTTCGAATCGAGATCCAAGTTGAATGGCATATGCGCTACGTCAACCGGTGGCCGAGAGATTCCCAAACGGGTCCGCTGGCCGCCGCGTCATGCTCGGCCGTCAGCCGTTAGATCTTAAATCCCCGCATTCCTGATCATTGCCACGAGGCTGTGCATGCTGCGGGCCGTACCTGAAAGATGGACGCCAAATCGTCCACTTTGACGACATGACCGAATGGCGGAACCTTTTGACTTGCGTAGTCGGACGCCTCCAACGTTGTTCGGAGCAGAGACCGATTTCCGAAGCTCTTCTGCATCGCCGGATACGGTGGATGCTATCTCAATAATGCGTGCTCGAGTGGGAATCTGTTCAAACGGAGCTGTGCCTACCCTTTCAACGATGAATGTTCGACCAGCTTCTGCATGGCAGCTTGATTGCGCCATCGTCCGCAAGGCGACATCGGCGACATCCGCCGCTTTTACTGTGGCGTCATCCGGACCGCGTGACGAATGGAGGCGGCCTGCCCGCTCTTCGATCCACAGCACAGCTTCTCTTCTGCTGCTAGCGTTCGGATGCGAGAGGTCCGCCGAAGCATCAAGATTCACATTGGCCCGCTGTGCTGTTGACTCGTGCAAGGCAAGTCAAAGTCTGCTCTTCCCTCATCACGGCTTTTGCTGGTCTGCGGTGTGTGAGCGGGTCCGTGGAGACACGAGGAGAATTTGGTGGGTTGTGAGGCACCACAGCAGGAGGATTACATTTGATTCACATTTTTGATTTTGATTCAAGTCCGGCCCACCGCCGCGTGTGTGCGGCGGTGCAGCGCCCAGCTGCGCATGACACGAGAAGAACACGTGATGACAGTCAGCAGGGCGGTGTGCGGGTGTGGGGAGCGCCGGCGAATCAAGAATTTGAATGTCAAGTCAGGAGTATTGAAATTCTTGATTCTTGATTGAACCACACACAATTTGAGTCACGAGTGAAGAGTGACTTTTGAAGCGCACATATGTGATCGTGACGGATCAAGTCAAAAAAAGAGACTTGCAGCTAGTCAAGTCAAGTCAAGAGTGTGAGTCACGATCGAGTCATGAGTTATACGAGTAATTTCGCTCAGCACCGCGACGAGTCATTCGCTTGCTGCGCACCAGCAGCAGCGAACGCCTTGCGCATGCAAGGTCAGCTGGATCAGTCGAAGTGATCCCGCCTTTACTGTACCAGTCGACCTGCAGCGGCAATCGTGAATGTGAATAATATGGAGAGAGACTCACGACTACTCTTGACTGCTGTACCGTACCAGCACCATTCAGTCACGAGTCAAGAGTATCCAACACGCGTCGCATTTTAGATGCGCGTCACAGACGCTACTAGCTGGCCGCGCTATGCCGAGCCAAGTCGAGGCTCGAGCTGCCCGTCAAGGTTGCTCTTTCCTTTACCACCCAAAAGGGGCCGCGGCCATCCCCTCTCAGAGCCCATTGTGATTTGACTTGCATAGATGGGGGTCGCCGAGCCATCACGCCTCGTGACTCACGTCTTAGCTTCGAATGTCTGCGCTGCGCACGTCTTGGCACGCTCAGCGCTACCACTGTGCACGCTTCTGGATCTTTTAGAGTTTTGAGTACATATGCGGAGGAGAACGAAGCGCGACTCGTGATTGTCAGCATCCAATCAACGTGCGAGACCCACATTCCCTTCTCCCTCGATCTGCTCACTGTCTCAAGCGCCTTTGCAGAGCATTCGCTTTGTCTGCATTCTGGAACCATGGCAGGTTCGCAAGTCGGTGAAGAGGCCATCGAGGTGCGCTGCAGTCCCAATAGTGATCTGGAAAGCGCAGCGTCACGTCCATCGTCGCAGCGCAGCAATGGCTTCGACCGAAAAGACGCCGGAAAGACGGTACGACCCATTGACGAGCGCCCCTTGGTGCCGGATCAAAAGGCGTCTTGGCTTAGCATGCTGCTTTTCATGTGGGTTTCTCCCATCATGCGCCTCGGCTTCAAGCGAACGCTGCAAAAGGAAGGTGAGCCAGCTACAAGCCCTACTCAGCTACTAGCCCAGTATGCACAAGTCGACACCTTCTCACCATGTATCTGCGGTGCTGCTCTGCAGACATGTGGCGCTTGGATTCCAGCCGACAAGCAGAGGCGCTTGGGGATGATCTTGAGTCCTTCTTTTACGATCGGTGCGCTCCACGCAGGAAACCCCTGGCCGTCAAGCAACGAGAAGCCGCAGCTGCGCGCTTGTCGGACTTCAAAGTGGGGGCTAAGCAAAAAGTACCCTTGCGATCGCGAAAAGGTACGTGAATGCGTTGGACGAGTCCTGTTGTTTTTGGGCACCAGCTCAAGCGTAGATTTCACCACACCCTTCTTTGAGCCAAAAGCCAAGTACGACGAGTCACTGACGTGGGCGCTTCACAAGCTCATTTGGAAGAGGCTCTGGCTTGCAGGCTTCCTGAAATTGCTTGCGGATGGTCTGACAGTCACGTCGCCGCTCGTCACGAAGGCCCTGCTTGACTACATCGGGCAGGCCTACGTGTATGCGAATACTCCGGACGCAGCCGCAGTGCTCCCAAAGCCCCCAAGCCAAGGGACAGGATGGGGTCTCGCCATCGGTCTCTGGGGTATGATGCAAGCCTCCTCCCTGCTTACCAATCAGTTGTAGGTCGCTGTTTGCGACCAGATGCAACACCGCCTTCTCTTTGTCTTACTTTTCCGCCCTTTCTGTGCTTCAGTTTCTACTCGGCTATGTATTGTGGACTGCAGAGCCGGGCCTCCCTAACCTCCATCCTGTTCCGCAAAGGGCTACGCCTGTCATCCAAGAGCAGGCTGAAGCATACCACTGGCAGATTAGTGACTGCAGTGTCGACGGACGTCACACGGCTTGAGACCTTGTACATGTACGCCCACGATGCTTGGCTGGGTCCGATACAGATCGTTGTGACCCTCGCGCTCCTAATCAACAATTTGGGGCCATCGGCTCTGGTAGCGCTTGGAGTCATCATCTTCTTCACACCCTTTCAAGCTGTCATTGTCAGCCGGATGGTCAAAGCAAGGGCAGATGCGGTCAAAGTGACAGATAAACGTGTCAGCCTGATGCAGGAAATCCTTCAAGGTATCAAGCTAATCATCCTCTTTGAGCATCGACAAGCATATGCGGAGAAGGTCAGCAGCCTGCGAAGCAGAGAAATTCACTTCATACGGTCACACGCCATCTGGTCTTCCTTGACCTTTATGCTCTTCTACGCCATGCCTATCATCAGTGCGACCCTCACTTTCATGACCTACAAGCTCTCTGGTCACGACTTGGATCCTGCAATTGTGTTCAGCAGTCTGCAGCTCCTCAACATCATCAAAACGGCCCTGGTCACGGGACCGCTTGCCATATCTTCGCTTGCAGACGCTCATGTCGCTCTTGGCCGCATCTCCAAAATCCTTCTCAGCGAAGAGAATGCGGAGGAGAACATACTCAAAGGTGATCCATCCGGAGAGCCGAAGCATCAGTCAGATCACGACCTTGATGAAGAGATAGGTCTTTCAATCAAAGGCACGTATGCTTTCGAAAGTGTGGGCCCGCCCAAGGCAAAGCTCGACGAGAATGGTAAAGCCTTTGGTGCTACAAGCAGCGCGGCTGATAAGCCTACGAAAGAACAGATGGCGGAGCAGAAGGCGGCTGCAAAGGCAGAGAAGGAGTGTCAACAACGCGTCAATGCGCGACGCAAAGCGCGCCGAGCTCGCGAAGAGGCTGGTGAAGACGTGTTCACTGAGGATGAAGAGGAAGAAAGTGAGGAGGCTACGGACAGCCCAGAAGGAGCTTCCACAGATCTTTCAAAGCCCTTTGAACTCAAAGACCTACAGCTTGAGGTGGGCCTAGGCAAATTGACGGTGGTCTGTGGACAGATCGGCTCCGGCAAAAGCGCTCTGTTGCAGGCTCTTGTTGGGGATATGCGAAAGGTCGAAGGCGAGACGCATTTTGCAGGTCGGGTTGGCTATCATCCCCAGCATGCCTGGATCCAAAACATGTGAGTATGCTGCAAAGCAGTGAGGCCGTGGGACGGTCTTTTGGCTAACCGGCAAGATTGTGTCAGGTCTTTGCGCGACAATGTCATCTTCGGAGCGCCGGTTGACCAGGCACGTTTTCAAGACGTGGTCGAGGCGTGCGCTTTGCGCCAAGACATCGACATGCTTCCGGATGGGGAGCTTACCGAGCTGGGAGAACGCGGAGTGACCGTCTCGGGTGGACAAAAAGCTCGCATCTCGCTAGCACGCGTTGCGTACTCTGATTCCGACGTGATTTTAATGGACGACCCCATCTCGGCTGTAGATGCTCACGTTGGTAAGCACATCCTTCAAAAGTGCATTCTCTCGGGACCAATGAAGCACAAGACACGTCTGCTGGTCACGCATGCTTTGCACGTCTTTCCCTTTGCCGATGAGATCGTCTATATGGAAGAAGGACGAATCATCGAGAGAGGCTCATATGCGGATCTAGTGGAACACGGCCAGCGCTTCTCGCAACTCGTGCACAAGTACGGCGGGCAGAAGGAGAAAGTCGAGGCGGCTGATACGGGTGAGAAGAAGAAGGTGACAGTAGACATGCAAGGCCAGGAAAAAGCTGCGGCCCAGCAGCTGACGTCAGACGAAGAGAGAGCTCAGGGAGCAGTAGGCCTGAACGTGTACGTCAAGTATATCCGCGCAACCGGATCTTTGTGGCGCGTGCCATTCTTCTTGGTGCTCTTGACCCTCACCGAGTGCAGCCAGGTCGGCAACTCCGTTCTACTCGGCTTGTGGTCGCGAGAGGGCATCGATGGCTGGTCTGAGGGACAGTAGTGAGTCAAATGGACGCGAGGGGCTGGGGAAATGCGCATCTGATACTAAAATAGTGCTCTGCTCGTTGATCCGCGTTCAGCCTGGGTCTGTACGCTGGATTTGGAGCAGCGCAGGCAGTCTTCAACTTTCTAGCAACATTGACGTTCTATTACGCTGGCTTGTACGCCTCTCTTCACCTGTTTCGCGGTGCTTTCCGCGGAGTCCTCTGGAGTCCTTTAGGTTTCCACGACGTAACGCCTGTGGGCAGAATCATCAGTCGTCTTTCGTGAGTTCTAGATAGGTTTCACAACACGTTCTGAGCTAAAGGTCGGTTGCCGCGCTGCTTGTCCCCTTGCAGAAAAGACGTGGATCAGTTGGACTACGAATTACCGATGCACGGTTTCTCGTTCCTCATTCTACTGGCTTCTGTTTTTGGCACCGTCGGATTGACCATTTATGCTTACAACTGGCTTGGGCTCATGTTCCCGCCTCTATTTGCTCTGTATCTAATCGTGCAAACGTACGTGGCCAGATTGCACACGTTTTTGTGCCCGTCCTTCGTGCTAAGCCTGCTCACTCCTCGCAGCTATTATCGCCGGACTAGTCGGGAGGCGAAACGCCTCGAGTCCATCCTGCGCTCCTTCCTCTACGCCAGCTTCATGGAGGCGCTAGATGGCATCGCTACTGTTCGCGCTTTCAAGGCACAAGAGCGCTTTGTAAACACTATCCAGACACTCGTAGACACTACCAATTCCGCATACATGGTGACGATTGCGGCGCAAAGATGGCTCTCCGTTCGGGTCGATGCGATCGGCAACGTCATCATCCTCGGCATCGGTCTTGCGTCTGTAGGTTTTCGCGAATCGCAGAATCCAGCCACACTCGTGAGTACAGCCGTGTTTTTCTGTATTCATGAATACTTCGCATAGCTGAGCGAGAAGCGTCATTCACTCGTAGGGTGTGGTTCTCTCGTACGCAACAAACATCACCACATTACTTTCCTCAATCGTCGCGATCTTTGCAGAGGTGAGGGCTGAGAGCAGAAATTGACCATTATAGTACTTTGCTAATACGTTTTCGGTGCGCGCTTCAGGTCGAGACGCAAATGAACTCTGTCGAGCGGCTGCTCCACTACACGACGCTCTCGCCAGAGGGTCAGGACCACTTGCCGCAAGATCCCTCCGGGCAGGAATGGCCTCTGCGTGGCGCGATCGATTTCGAAAGCGTCCAATTACGATATCGCGAAGGCTTGCCTCTCGTTCTCAACGGCTTCAATGCTTCCATTCGCCCCGGCGAGCGCATCGGGATTGTTGGACGGACAGGTAGTGGCAAATCAACCTTGCTGGCTGCTTTGTTCCGCACGGTAGACTTGGCAGGAGGAAGCATTCGGATCGACGGCATCGACGTCAACAAGATCGGTCTCGCCACGCTCAGACACAGACTTGCCATCGTTCCTCAAGACACGTACATTTTCGAGTCCACTCTTCGAGACAATCTTGATCCGACGGGCAACGCGACGGATCAAGCGCTCAACGCCGCGCTTCGAGCCGTCGGACTGCTACAACCTTTACAAAGCCAGTCCGATGTCGATGAGCACATTGAAGGGGAGGTCATCGAGGAACCCGAGTCCAGCGCTGCCCTCCAGCCATCTTCGCCGTCACAGGCTGACAAGACGCCGAGCGCTGCAGCGGTCCGCTTTCAGCTGGATCTGCACTGCCGACAGGATTCTTTCTCGGCGGGACAAAAGCAGCTGGTAGGTCTTGCGCGCGCGCTGGTCAAAAATTCTCGCATCATCGTCCTGGACGAAGCGACGGCCTCAGTAGATGCGGAAGCGGACGCCAACGTTCAGCACATGATCCACACGCTGCGAAAGCGCACGCTTCTGATCATCGCGCACCGTTTGCACACGGTTGCAGCGGTGGATCGCATCCTCGTCATGAACGATGGGCAAGCGGTGGAGTTCGACGCTCCCCTGACCCTTTTTGATCGGCAAGAATCCACTTTCAGAGATATGTGCGATCAGGCAAACCTCACTAGGGGGATGATCATGGAGGTTCAAGCAGCTGCGGCGAGTGCGGCTAGTCGATTCGATGGGTTGCATCAAAGTCGTGAGCGCGCCAATCAGCAAGATAGCTCCCCGTAGCGCTCATCATTCACGGAAAATCCAACACAACGCGTTTTTCGAGGTTGTCTCAATCCTGCGGACGCTACATTGCAGTCACACGTACCCCAGATCTGCGGGCACAAATGCGGCACCACAGCATTCGTAATCACATTGTACCATAGCTGCGGACAATCACCACTCCACATCGCTAGAGTCTCTGCTTCTTTTTTCGTATTCAAACTCACTACATCACCGCTCACAAAGCTCGCATCCACTATCATGATTCTTGCATTGCAGGCTGGCAGCCTCATGCTACTCATAGTACCGGTGTATCATTTGTGCATCCCCCTCACGAGCCAACATCAACAATTGCACAAGCGAGTATTCAACACTTGCGCGCGGTATGTGCGAAATCACAATGCAGCGAGCGATGAGCGGCCAATGGCTTGAAGCGTCGATTGTGGGCATCATTTGATGCGAAGGCGGTTTGATGCGTCTATCGCGAATCAGATAAAGGCATCGAAAGTTAGACTGGTGATTGCCATTTAGCATCACCAACAAGTAGCGCCATTGCATATCACGTGCGCGCTCAAGTTGGCGAGTCTGAGTGTTCGCACGCACGCTTGCACGCTTCACGATTTGCATTCATTCACGAGTCATGGATTCAAGATTCGCCATTCAAGATTCTCTCAAGATTTCGATTCGGATTCTGATGCAGGTTTCGAAATCTTCGTCATCCGATTTCAACCTCGCAAGCTCATGACTTTCACCTTTTCAACTCACGGCCCCCCATCGTAAACGTGGATTCGAATTTCATATCTGGGTCGATGGATGGCAAGAACGATCGATCCACTTTCTATCCGAGCGCCCGCTACCATCATCCCGCCCGATGCCTGCCTGCGCTTTGTAGCAGCTCAAGCGAACTTCACTACTCTGATTTGAAAGTACTCGCTAGGCAAACCCACGACCAAAACCCGCACGGCGCCCAAACATCAAAACCAAATAGGCCCGCGCAGTGAGAGGTGTGGAGCAGAAGCACGCGCCTTTTCTTGCC